CAAATACAAACCAAGCAGCCAAAATGAGCCAATTTGAGCTTTGACAAGAATAACAGAAAGGCATGACAAAAGTGAAACATAAAAAAGAAAAATATATGGATCTAAAATTATTATCTATATAAAGGGAAGAATTTCTCCACTTCAATGTAGACATAGACTGGATTTAAAACAAAAAGCATTCTTTACAATAAACCCACACTAAATCAACTGCTATTGAATTCATCCAAGTTTATATGGCCCTATGTAGGGTTTCTCAGACTATAAATCTTTGCGGGAGCAGACAACTTCCTTTTTCTCCCAGCGTAGCTGGTAGGTTTGAACTGCTGACACAGTAAACTGGAAGTAAAGACAGGAAAGGATCTATCAAGAACATACAAAAGAAGGCTGTGTAATTTGTCTCAGCTCAGCAGGCACAGTGTTACCTTCCTGAAAGAGCCTTATTGCGAGTTTTACCATATCTCCAGCTCTCACTGTTTGTGTAAATAGTGTCTAGTCACTGAAGTTTTTAATCCGTACAAATCAACAGTCCATGTACTTTGGTCTAAAAAACTGTCCTATGCACGTATATTTTCCTTTTCTCAAGTGTTTGAAATTCTATACCACTAAATTAATAGATGGCTAAATTGAAGACACTATCAGTAGAATTACTCCGAGGGTGATTTATAATGTTCTCTAATAAAATAATAATGATGTCTCTAAAGTGAACCAGAGACATCTATAAAACATAAATCTATGAATGGAATTTGAGCTTGCACTTAAAAGGGTAGCCCTAATCTAAAACAATTAGTTCTTATGACATGGCCCAGTTCAATATTTACCTTCATGAAGAGATCACTGAAGATCTGGGGGCCTATAGCAAACTGTGAAGAAATGAGACAGTGTTTGACTATCAGAAAGAATAGTGTCTGGGGTCTTGAAGACTTGTCTTAATAGAAGCAGCCATCTAAAGGAGGCATCAGCTAAGAAGCACGCTAGCTCATGTGTTCCAAGGATTGTAAATCATAAAATCCAAACCCAAAGGAGGACACTCTATTAAAGCTTAAATTCTGAACATTCGGTTTTCTAGAAGGCTATGGATGCCTGGGAAGGCCCTAAATCCATTTGCAGAATTCCCGTGTGGATTCAGCCTCCGTTGAATCCCCTCTGAGTATGGACCAGGGATGTGAATGGTGTGGCCATGAGATGGAGTGCACTGTAGGGTGGACTCCTATAATTGTAGTTAGATTAAAATGCGGATGCCTTGTCAGCTGATCTCCCTTTGGACCCACTGTATATTTGCTCGTTTTTAATATTTTCTTTCTTTTCTATTGCGTTTCTTCTGTTTTGCCATGGTTGTTGAGTTTTTTGTTTTGCTTGTATATGCTGTTCTGTATATGACATCCACAATACATACACTGATAGAGTCATTAAGTGTATTAATAGTTTCCTAAGGGCATGGCAGGAGCCCTGGTGGTGTAGTGGTTAAGCCTTGGGCTGCGATCCACGTGGCCAGCAGATTGAAACCATCAGCAGCTAAGGAGAAAGACTGGGCTTTCTACTCCTGTGTCTCGGAAACCCACAAAGGGGCACTATGAGTCAGCACTGACTAGTTAGCAGTGAGCTTGAATTTGGAGGGTCATAGCAGGGGAGGCTGGGAGGAAATGGGAACCTAACAAGTACAAGAAAAAGAAGAAACCATCCTAAAATTGATTGTGATGCCTGCATAAATCTTTCAATATTGTTGCGTTACTGAATTATATGCCAAAAAAACAATTAAAAATAAATATATAAAAAGTAGGTTGTATAACTATACTAATATCAGACAGAAGACACCTCAATTTACCACAAGAGATTAACAAATTCTAAACATGAATGCACTTAATACCATAGCTTCAAAATAACAAAGCATAAAATGAACAAACACATTCACAACCCATACTGAGAATTCAACATATTTCTTTCAGAAACAGTGCACCCACAAAACAAATACTATAAAACCAGTGAAGAGATTGAAGATTGGTACAAGAGAATAAATAAGCTTGATTTAAAGGATATAAAACATTCTACTCAATAACTATAGAATTTACATGCTTTTCACACACATTAAAAAATATGCTTGAACTAGTCTATAAACCAAGTCCCACCAAATATATTTTTAAAATTATCACAGTGTTTGCTCTTAAGGCAATTAAGAGATTAAATAGAGAATAAACTTACTGTCTTCTAGACTTCTCCACTTCCTTTTTGGAAGGTAAAGTACAGCCATCAAATACAAGAATAGGTTTGATTCCATGAGATAGCAACATATTTACAAGTTTCATACAAAATCCTACATACCTATGAAGAGAAATATATTCATTAAAGTGCTTTGGAAAACAAGAAGTGTTGATGAGCATGGGAAGAAACTTGAACCCTCATCCACTGGTGGTAAGAATGTGAAATGGTACAGCCACTGTGAAAACATCGGACACTTTCTGAAAAAGTTGACCATAGAATTAATTACCTTAAAGACCCAGCTATCATCATCCTACTAGGTCTTGTTGTGTGCTTGCAAGAAGCTAGAACGCACACCAAAACCTGTATACCAATGTTCATTGCACTATTTTTAATGACTGGAAAAAGGTGGAAATAACAACCATGTCCAGATGAATGGATAAATAAAATGTGGCACAAATGTACAGTAGAATACTATGGCCATGGAGAGAAATGAAGTCCTGATGCGTACCACAACATGGATGAACCTTCAAAACATTATGCTGAGTAAAGTAAGTCAGTTGAAAAATGACAGTTGATCTCACTCCAGTGAAATAAGCAAATATACAGAAAGCAAAGAACATTAATGGTTATCCAGGGTATGAGTGATTATGTGTTTGAATGCAATCCACAAGGTCTGAAGTTCAAAACCACCAGAAACTCCCCAGGCGAGACAGGGCTTTCTACCCCCATAAAGAGGGCCAGTCTCAGAATGAGTCAGCATCAACTGTGACCTAATGATAAATCAACATTGAGTGAAAATCATCTTGCGGGTGGGGGTAGCTTTTGTTAAGTCTTAATGGGTAAAGAATTAGTAATAAGGTGTAAACTTACTTGTCAGTAGGTTCACCTTTCACTAGTTTTTCAGCACAAGCAATAGCTCCTTTGTGAAGCCAGCAATATGTATCCACAGCTACTACCTCCCCTTTATACTTTCTCACATGGATAGGTTCAGAAGCTTCTTTGATAAACTGGAGTAATCCTTGTATACCCATAGTGCCGAGTTAACTGCATGATATGAAAACAGAAACACTTACAGCAAAATACATTTACTAAAAAGTTTTAGAAAAATAAAGTTATAGAAACTGTTACTGTTTAGATATTTGAGACTCACTGCTCTGTAATATTTTACCTGGATTCCTCCCTGGCAAACAATTTTTACAGTCTATAATATTCACATTAAGCACCAATTCAATCTCTAATGCTTAGCCTTTCCAAAGTGCTTTCACATTTGCAATCATTAATATGTGCTCTAAGCATATGCACACCTAGGACTTAGCATATAAAAGGTGCCCCCAAAGCATGAACTTTTCTTTCTCCAAAGAGCAATTGTTAAAATCAACTCTACTCTGGCTACCAAAATGAGTCCTGGGAATTTGAATTTTAGATCTGTGAAGTCTTTTGGACACAAGTGGTCATGAAGCCCCAGTTGGGGAGGAAAACAATTAGTCTCCTCTCAAGAGGAGACTAATGAATATGTTGCTACACAGTTTTCTTTCACTCTAGGAAAAGTGATGTACTATACATTTCATGAAACCTCCAGGCTGTAACACTTTCTATAATAATCTCTGTTTAGTATACTAAATGCACATATTATCTCAAGGCACCCCAGGTAACAACAGTAGCAGCAACTTCTCTGTACATTCCTCTACCTGGCACAGGAGTGGCGCTCAAAAATCAATGCCAGAAGACAAGTTTTATTTGCTCTGAATAATATTAAGGAGAAAATTTACTTGCTAATATTGAAAAGTCGGGAATTTAGAGATAAAAACTGGACTGCCAACTTTATTATATTAGTCCCACCCCCACCCCCACCCCCACGCCAGGTTTTTTCCCCACTCCCACCATCTAGGTCAAATGTTGCGAGTGGACTCGACCTGTCCCTGGGTCAGGGACTCTTAGCCCTCAGCCCGCCAACCCTGCCAGCCTCCTTCCCTCCAAACCACGCACGCAACGCCCCGAGTGAGGGATTCAAATGACAAGTGCAACTCAAACCCTTAATTGTTTTATATCTCAAAACTTTCAATAAGCTCGTTAAACTTGCTACTTTTTTGGTCGGGGAAGATCACGCCATGCATTCGGTGAAGATCCTGAATATAGGAAAACAGGCACTGAGGCGTGCAGCGATCTGCAGGAATCCGGTTCCCTTCCTAACCCGCCCCACCCCCACGCCACCCCTCACCCCACGCCCTAGCGACCCCCAGGGCCCCGGCCCTTCACACGGCTCTCGGGAAGGGCTCTCTCCGTCCGCCCGAACCTGCCGTTCAACCCTCACTTACTTCGGGCAGTTTCCAGGGACGAGAACCCAGAACAGAAAAGGGCCGCACCGTAGACCACAGCCGCAGGGCCACCTTTTCAATTTACGCGGCAACAGCCTGCCCCGCCCCGCCCCGGCGGAAGTGACGTCAGCGCGCGGGACGCCGGTCCGCTTCCTCGGCCGCCATTCACGCGTTCCTCGGTGGGCGTGCCTCCCGAGCCCCGCCCCTGTTTCCACCGGGAGGTCTGCGGGGCTGAACCACCAGCCATTGCTTGGGAAAGATGAAGTGTTCTCCTCCCGGAAAGAGGTACACTTTCCGAACCCCTCAGGGGCACGGGCTCCGGGGGCCCCCTGTCTCTGGACGGCTTTCGAAGGTCCTCAGAGGTTGGTAGTTTTGCTGTCACCTGGGCGACCATGCCGACGGGGTGCCAGTGTCACCTGGGCTCCTCGAGGTTCAGGTCTCTCCGCAGGGCGGTCCGCGTTCAGGTCCGCTGGAGTTGAAAGGGCGTCGCTGCCTGGCTTACGGGGAAACCTCGGGGGGAAATCAAACTTGAACTGTACTCCTTGTGCCGGGTGCAATTCAGGCACACCAGGGAGGAGAAAGCACCGTTTAATCACTTAGGTGTATCCGTTTTAGCACGCTGTAAAATCTCCGCTCCAATTGCGGCTGGGTAAATACAGGGTTTATGTATGTTTTGTAAAATCTAACAAGGTTTATATGTTAGATTTCCAGCTCATTGTCACCCAAGGGAGTCTTAGTGACCCTATAGGACACAGCAGAACCGCCCCTATCAGTTTCGGAGGCTGTAAATATATACAGGAGCAGAAAGCCTCCTCTTTCTACCACTGAATGGCTGGTGAGTTGAAACTGCTGATCTTGTAGTTAATACTGTGGCACTTAACCCTCAGTGCCACCAGGGTTCTACTTCCAAAGGCAAGGCTACTTTGACCAATGGAAGGAACAAAGAAAGCTCATTCAAATACAACTATAAATTTAATCTAACAAAAATTGCTCATGCCTTTTAAATTTTATCTATAGCACTCCAGAGGAAACAATCTCCACACTAGGTCTGTTCTTCGAGGCTGATTTTTTGTCTTCTGTCCCAGGCGAAGGATTTTATTTTAATTCTTTATTTTTATATACTTAGAGAAGAAGGGTGAGTTGATTCATAAATAATTTAACTGATTAATTCAGGGAAAATCTTATAACCAAAGTCATGGAAATGTGCCTTAATGGTACAGACTCTAAAGACATTTTAGACCCTGGTGGCTACTTGCTGCCAAACCACTGTTACTGAGAAGAAACTCAAGGTTTTGAATCTCAGTTCTTGTCTCACTCACAAGAAAGAATTCAGGCAAGGAATAGCATTTAAACTCTAGTCAGGGAAAAGGTTTGATTGTAATGAACGAGTTTATTGAATGGGCTACATTGATGTAGGGCTTCAAAGGGCCACTAGTTAATCGGAGGGCCTAGTAGAATGAAGAAGAGCTAGGATTTAAATTTGCTATGATGGACCTTCCTCCATTGGCTAACTTTGGGGGTGGGGTTAGGGGAGCTTCTGATATTGGCTGATTTTTGCAGTATCTCTCCCCTTTTCAGGTATCTGCACCCCAAATTTCATGCTGTGTCTCCAGGCCCCCAAACCAGAGTGTCTATTGTGGAGGTTGCTGAGGGTTCAAATAAATGACAGCCACTATAATGTCTTGATAATTTAGAGGACTCTTTATTTGGTTATAACCAGACCAGTAGAATCTAAAAGCAATTCTTAGATTGCAATTCCAAGTGGACATTTCAGTCCATCTTTAAAGGCAAAAAACTCATTTATCATTTTTCTAAGACTTAAGCAAAAAAACTCATTTATCATTTTTCTAAGACTTAAGCAAGTATAGACAGAAGTAAAAAGCAAAATTAATGTTACTATTGTTTAGAGTTAGGGAGCGTTACAGGATATATTACTGATTATAACATTCTGGTAACTTCAAAAAGAGCAAGCAGGCATTACAAGGTATATTCCTTATCATATAAGAAACAATAGTCAACTTTCCGAGATGGGAGGGAGAAATGGGCAAGTCATTTTTCAAAATTTAAATTTATTTGTTTTTAATGGGCAAGTCATTTAGCAGCTAACAAAAAGAGTTTCTTTTGCTAGTCTGCCTCAGGGATAATGTGAACATCTTGCCTACCTTTGTCCTCTCTCCATTCTCACCTCCCCCCACCACACACACACATACACCATTTCACTACCCTGTTTCCCCGAAAGTAAGACATCCCCCGAAAATAAGACCTACTTGCAGTTTTGCCTCTCGCTGAAATATAAGGCATCTCCCCTGAAAATAAGACCTCCCCGAAAATAAGGCTCCCTGAAGCTACTGTGACTCTGGACTGTAGCAGTGGGTACCGCAGCACAGCTGGAGCAGACAGGAAGTGTGAGGTCTCTTTTAATAAAACAATAAACAATAAATGTGTATCATATGCTTCATGGAAAAATAAGACATCCCCTGAAAATAAGATCTAGCGCATCTTTGGGAGCAAAAATTAATATAAGACACTGTCTTATTTTCGGGGAAAGAGGGTATGTGCAGTCTTTTCCATTGATAAAGATAAGCATCCTATCTGCCCTTCATCTTTGTGCGAGGGAGGCCTGGGGGAAGTGTGACTCTACCTCCTTTTACTATTAGGATTCCTTCCATTGTCACCTTTTCCCCCTGGTTCTGTCAAGCTAACACCCACATCTCACCCCAAGTGACACCATCTCAATTCTTTGGAATTTGAGAAGCGAAGAGCATCCTTTTGTAACTGCTTCCTGTTGGATAGAAGGTAGAGATGATTTGAATGCTACCGTTTTTATTCCCTATCTGGGCAAGAGGTTGAAGGGAAAACATTTGCATGGAATGGTGCATTGTAACCTAGAGGGCTGAGAAGTACATTGGAGTCTGTTGACTGGACTCATTTGAAGTTACACAGCTTCAAGCCTGGAAGAGAGAAAATAGACAATGATTTGGAAAATACAAGATCTAAAAAGTAGGAAAATAATAGTGGTCACAGGGCCCAGGAGGGGTAGTACCAGGAGTCCCACGACCAGATAGCGACCAGAACCTCAATTAGACATAGCTTGTACCAGTAATTCTTTTGCTTGTTCCAAGAACTGGCAGATAGGTTCTTGCAGTTGGCATATTTGGTTTGCCCAGAAATAGCATTCTTCCTTGAGCATGGCATAAATTCAACTTTGGGCCACTGCCAATATACCAAGTCCTGTGAATTCTGGAGAAAACTGCTGCTGCGGAATTGATCAAAACCTGCATCATAATGAATGAATCAGCGATCCTAATGTTGCACTGTGCTATTTGGAAGAAGGTTAACATGTCTTATTTCCTTCAGAGACTACTGCAATGGTTCTGAGATTAGTCCCTGCAATTCCTGCCAGACTGCTGATCCGTAATACAAAGGGGATCAGTGGTCCCGCTCTTTTTGGTACTCTCTGTGTGCCATGGGGCATGTGGCACTAGCAATCAATATGGTAGGCACAACATATTTCAGAGTGGAAAGCCCTCTCCGGTTGGTTGGTAAACACTGATAGGCAGAACACCCACAGACAAAATAAATGCCCTTTTGGGCAGTGACTTAGTGGGTCTTACTTGTTCAGTCCCACCTCTATGTACATTTGCAAAAGTTAACTTTTAGCAAAGGATGTTGTAGTTAAAGGGCTGAAACAGGGAATGGTAGTAATACGGTTGTCAATGTAAATCTTCCCCAAACATGACATGCGTAGTAGCTTCCATAAAGGCTTTTTTTTTTTTCAGACCTACTAGAAATAAGGGAAGAAGTATCGGTTTTTATGTGCCCTTCATTAGAGTTTGCCATTAAGAGTAAATGTGCATACCCTGGAGACCTCCCTGGGCAAAACCCCTCCATGTGATTTAGTCTCTGAGACGATGTAAGGTTTTGGCACCACACAGCATATAGGGATAACTGACTCATTAATTGCCCTTAAATCCTGAGCCATCCTATAAGTACTGTCCTTCTTCCTAACTGGTAGGATAAGGGTATAGTAAGAAGAGTTGTCAGCCACTAGCAATTTATAGGAGCTCTAGTGGTGTAGTGGTTATGCATTGGGCTGCTAACCATAAGGTTAGTAATTCAATACCATGAGCCACTGTTCAGGGGAAAGAGGAGGCTTCCTACTCCCATAGAGAGTTCCAGTCTCAGAAACCCACAAGGGGAGTTCTATCCTGTTCTGTAGGGTCACCAAGCATCATAATGGACTCAATGACAGTAAGAGAGTTGCAATTTATATCAATAATTCAATCAATAATTCCTCTTAGCCCTTCTCTTGCTAAAGCCCTTCTCTCTTCTGGGTGAATGGGGTATTGCCTTCTCTTAGGGAAATCAGTAGGATCTTGAAGTCTATTCACAATGGATTTGGCATAAAGGGCTCACCTTGGAATTCCAATTGCCTACACCATGACTTGTCTGTCAATTTGTCATACTGTGGTGGTTTGTGTGTTGCTTGAAGCTGTCACTGGTATTTCAACCGCTAGCAGGGTCACCCAAAGAGAACATGTTTCAGTGAAGCTTCCAGACTCGGAAGAAAGAATTGGCTGCCCACTTTGGAAGAAGTAGCTGCTGAAAACCTTATGCACAGTATGGAAACGTTGCAAGGCTTAATGCTAAGGCCTAACGAATGCTGACGGCCTAATGAATGAAAGCAGAACATTGTTGGAGATAGTACAGAGGAGGGGCTCCCCAGGTTGCAAAACACTTGAAATGTGACTGCAGAAGATTTGCCTGGAGGTAAGCCTGTGGGAACGGAGCCTTCTGGATCTTCATTTGCTGATGGGCCACAATGCGAAGTGAGAAGAGACAACTGTAAAAATCTAATAATGGGAATTGGAATGTACAACATATAAGTGTTGGAAAATTGAAATGAAATGGAGCTGTCAAAGTGAACTGTCAAAAATAAAATGGCACTCATAAAGTCAATATTCCAGGCATTGGTGAGCTGAAATGGAATAGCCATTGTGAATCAGCCATCCTATGGTTGACTATGCCTGGAATGACACAATCAAGAGGAACAGCATTATA